GTTGGACAGAAGCACTGGGAAACTCACACATTAGTCGATGTGCAGTATATGAGAACCCCAAACTCATTTTCCCATAAGAACCCTTGGTCAAAGATGAGTGCTCTAAGATTATCTTTAGGATCCCATGTCTAAGTGTCCTGTGGCTATCTTACCTTCTGATGCTGGCAGAGCAAATAAATGACTCTGGAACAAATGAGGACAATTTTTTTGTTTCTTTTTCCTTCCTCAGCTGTTGTGGCTCTCCCATGTGGTCCCCACAGTAAGGACTACTCAGTAAGGGCACTTTTGCTTGGGACCTGTGAAGGACATCTTGCTAATGAGCCAATCCTTGGAAACTTGTGGGTTTTGGATAGATAACAGGGGTTGGGTAAGGGACAGAGTTCCGTGGTCAAGTTAATTTGGAAAATATTATTAGAGAATGAAACAGATTTCTTTGCTGCAGGACTTCCCAGAGTGTTTCATATGGTAACAAACATGTTGACTGTCTAAGAGAGGTTAGCTTGCAACACTTCACAAATGTATCAGAACATGGGTTTGTTTTTTTTTTTTTTGTAGGAGAAGCACCTGGGAGGAGGGATGCATAGCATATACTCAGAGATATTAAGTTCTGGAGAGTTTGTCTTTAATAATGTCCCTTATACTAAAATTGGCAGTATAATGGGAAGAAACAGGAGTCTGGAATTTAGGTCTGGGATCTACTACCAACTGGAGACCTAGTGCAAGTCAATGAACCCTCTCAGCCTCAGTTTCCTCAGAAGTTTTAACTAATACTAGATGAATTCTCAAGTTTCTTTCAACCATGAAAGTCTGAGATCATGTGTATGTTCAAAAGAAGAAAATGATCTGTGATTTTTCTATTCTATAATAACTGGTGGTAGAAGCAGGAAGAGGCTCAGAGGAAAATAACAAGAACATGAGTAAGATGTGGTTTGAACCCCTTAGGTGATTATATGGTTGGGCACAGTTGCTGTGCTGGACTGATGTAACAGAGATAAATGAAGTTTATAGTTTGTTCTCAGGCTTCTCTGAATCTAATCATGTCATGTGGCACATGGGGAACTATTCCAGTTGCTAATTCTCAGGGGTCACTTAATCTATCTAGTCCTGGTTTTGCTGTTTAGAAATTGAGTATAAACTAGGATTGCTGTATGTATACACATGGATGTATAACCAATGTGATCCTGCAATCTGTACATGTGGAAAAATGAGAATTCATACTCTATTTGAATCAAATGTATGATATGTTAAAATCACTGTATTGTCTTGAGCAACTAATAAAAAAAAAAGAAATTGACTATATACAGTCATCCCTTGGTGCCCATGGAACTGATCCCAGGAGTCACATCTGCAGATGTTCAAGTACCTTACATTAAATGACATAGTATTTGCATACAATCTTATGTACATCCTCTCATGTACTTCAAGACATCTCTAGACTACTTGTAAGATCTAATAAAATGTGAATTCTATGTAAACAGTTGTTACATTACATTATTTAAGCAACAATGACAGGAAAAAAGTCTGTGCATTTTCTGTACAGACGCAACCATAGTAAAGACTGATACACAGTATGCAAATAAGACATGGGGCAAATGAAGCTTAAAGAAATGCTGGAGCGAGACTGAGGACCTAGGGAGTGGCCAGAAGCTACAGCAGGTGTCAATTATATCTTCTCTGAGGCCAGAGAACATTGATTTCTTTATGTTACCTATAATACATAGTATATATCAGGAGCTCAGAAACTTTCTTGGATGAATCAATATTAAGTTATTAAGCTATTAATCTRACCAAGTGTATAATTTGAAATAATATCTAATAAAATGTAGGTTAAATTTAAATAAAATAAGTAATAACAATCATAAGCTAGTTAAGTCTTGGTTTTGATATTTTTCCATCCATCCTTCTGTGTCTAGTTTGAGAGTGATTTTCTTAAGAACTTTTATTTTTATCATGATATTGGGTTAGTAAATTCATCAGTTAAAAACAGCTAAGGATACTTTGTGTCTCCTGTGAACTCTTTTCATCTCTCTGAAGCTTGCTGGCCTCTGTCATAGGAGAGTGATATTCTTTCTAGCTAGGAAATCAGATCCTGAATGGCTGAAAACATGGGTTTTATTGTTAGACTTGGTTTGGAATTCTGACTGCCTTTGTTAGCTATGCTGTGTTGAGGGATTTAGTTAGTATCTCTAAACTTTCCTTTTCTCATTTTTAAATGAAAGCAATAATATATCTGTCCTGCAATTATTGCAAGTGCTGGTTCTACTCCTGAGATGCTTCAAAAGTGAATCATCCGTCATAAGAGTCTCACCCAAATCAGGTTGGATTTCTCTTGGTTCTATGGACTTATAAGTACAAACCATACCAGGCTATGAAATTTCAGAGGCATACTAGAAAGTTAAAACAGAAATGCAGGGACTGTTGTGCCCATTTTCCTGGTCTGGTTAGGCAAAAAAGAGGAAAGCAGACTTGTGCATCTCATTTTGAATCAGACAGATGATAAACACTTTAAGAAATTCCTTATTGATTGGAATTTCTTCCGCCACATTCATTTTTCCTAGTTTCCTATGTCTCTAAACTTTACCATAGAGGTCTTCCGAAAAGCCAGCTTAGTTCGGGCCATCAGATCAGTCCCACAACTCATTTCGGTTTACAGAACAATTAAGGGAGGGGGCTAACAACTACTGAGCACTGAGCGTCTACTTACATGGTGGGAAGGTTTTATATATAATTATAATTATTATTTTTAATAACTTTATGAAATAGGTATAATTATATCTTTTGTATAAATAAATAGAAGCACATTCACCTCTGGAGACTGTACAACTAGTATATTTCAGAGTGAGGAATTGAACCCAGAGAGTCTATCTGGTCATTAACATTTGAGATTTTTGATGTGATTGAACCAAATTAGCTGTATTTGTGGGGTTTTCTTTTACTGTTTCTATGTTTGGAAACTTGTAAACCAACAGGATTAGCCTTTTACCCCTTAATACTGTAGGAAAATAGCTTTCATAATATCATGCTAAGAGAAATCAAAGGTCAAATGTCTTTCATAAGTGGAAGTAGGGAGAGAGAAAAAAGGAATTGAAAAAGGGGGTATCTTAGGAAGATAGGAGGTTAATAGTTAACAGGAAGGGCGTTGAGAGGGAGGGATATATATTCATATATTTGTATATGAATATAATATRTACATAATTATATTCATATACAAATATATGAATATATATAATATGTACATATTATATTCATATACATATTATAATATGTACATATTATATTCATATACATATTATATTCATATACAAAGTACATATTATATTCATATACAGATATATCTCAATGAATTCTTATATATAAAATAATAATGCACTAATAATAATAATAATAATAATAATAATAATAATGATGGAAGGAAGATCAGTAGAGTAGAGAAAGTGGATCAGGAGGAGGGAAGAGGGAAAAGAAGGGGAAGGGACTGGGAAAGGAGTAAATCTCACTGTTGTGTATAATTAAAATAAGCCAGTAGTGCTGGGGCTGGGGCTCAGTGGCAGAGCACTTGCCTAGCATGTGGGAGGCACTGGATTCTATCCTTAGCACCACCTACAAAAATAAATAAAATAACGGCATGCTGTCCATCTACAACCACATTTTTTTAAGTGCACCAATAAAATTAAATAAAATAAAAGCACCAATATTTGAATAAAAAATTTGTTTAGTAAGGAAACCAAGAAAAACTGTTTGAGAACCCTTAGACCCTGCTTTTTTCCCTCGTGATGATGTGACATTGATGCGAGAGCATATTTCAAGAGAGTTTGATGTTTGTAAATATTCCTACACCCACAGGCTCAGACATTGTTAATATTCATTTTTCTGAAGTAGTGAGGTAAGTCCCAACTATAAAGGTTCAGTTATATAGTAACAATTTGGCTGTTTTCTCAAATATGGAAGCAATCAACTACATGTTTGATTAGGAAAGTAAAAGCCAGGGGAAAGCTGTCTGAAGATCTATGGCTCCTATTCTGGCTTTGTGAGGACATTTCATTCTCATTAGCAACTGGCCACTTGGAGCGCCATTTAGCAACACTACTGAACACCATGGCACCACATATAGTTAAACAGCTATGTCTATTCAGTGGAATACAATAGAACAGAGGTAAGGAATGAGACAATTAAATAGATTGGAACGGAACTATTCCTAACATGAATAACAGAAAAACCAAGGTGAAATGCATGTGTTAATACTTGATTTTTTGAGATTAAAAATATACAATTCATAGTTTTTATATACATGTAGACTATTTCTAGAAAATACTACGGTAACAGATAACTAGTTGCCTTCTTAAGCAAGAGATGATATTCTGAGGTGGATGTGGGATTTACTTTTCAATTATATGGGACGTTGTGTGGGATCTCTGGAAATTCTTGAGCTTTTTTTCGAGAGGTACAAAAGACCAAATTTATTTTCATAATAACACTAAGATGTTTTTTCTTTTTTCACTCCCATTCACTCATGAGTAGAAGGTAGAACTTCCAGAGGTTAAGTGACATGTGATATTGCAACAAATTGAATCCAGAAGCATATATGCTAATCCAACTGTGTTGATGAAGCCAGACATTTAAGAGATTTTCAAAAACAAAACAATGTCACTCTTCTCCCTAAGTTTTCTCTGAAGAGAAGTTTTTTAATCTAAAAATTATTACTTGTGCTCACATTATTATTATTTAAGAAATTAATATTAATAAATTAAAAATTTTTATTTTGTTTTCATTTGTAAACATTTTAATTTGTAAAAGTTCTAATTTGTAAGACAGTAAATTCTAGGAGACATAAACACAATCTCTTTGAGGTTCTCTGGGCCATGTCTGTTTCCCTCAGTGCCTCATGTGCTTGGCCGCTTTATTGTGTAGTGGTGAAGGGGGATGCCAAGAAGGAAAGAAATGTGAATGAAGCAAAAGTTTGCAATAAAACAGAGCTTTTTCTTTTTTCCACTTCCATAAAGGAGATCTGCAGGTGCTCTGGGGTTCAATGCTCTAACAAGTTCCAAAATAATTGAAGAGAAGCCGAGGCCAGTTGTTCCGAGGATCCTGCTCCACAGAGAATGTTCTGCACCCATTGATGTAAGTAGGGCCAGTTGCTGAAGCTGTGTCAACACGTGTGATTGAAGACCSAGACAGGAGCCCTGTGACTCCCCTTGAAGCCCTCATTTATCCAGGCTGGTGTCACAGGGGGAGTTTAGTGCTTGGATTTTGTGCTTATAGCTAATGTCAAATGAGGAGACAATGCATTTGATTATATAAGAAACCTGATGTTGAATTTCAGTTAACACTTTCCACTTCTACAAATCTGGTTGTGATGAGACCCATGTGAGAGGCCAATCTTGGGGTGTACTGGCTAAGGATGTCTTCCCCAACTCTGAGTGGGGGATCTGGCTGTGATTTCTCCATCCTTACTGGTGCCACTGGACTCTGGGTTCCTGGATTGCTGTGTATTTTCTAATATTAGAAATCTCATTGAAGTTTTTTTTTTTTTAAAGTTACTTTCTTCTAGCAATAATTTGAAGTGACTTACAGTAAAACAATGCTTAATAGAAACATCAAAACCAGGAAAACAGGACAAGAGTTGATATATAATACAGTAAACGTATAAGAATTTCTAGCCCAGAGATTCTTACTGCAGATCAGTACAACACTAAACTGGGACTCATGGCAAAAAAACAGAGGCATGATGCACTGCAGAACTTTTATTWGGACACCAGGAAGCATTCCCACATATCAAGGTAGTTTGCCACAGGTGAATCTTTTTCTGAATGGGACTTCTTTGTTCACCCTTTGGTAGGCTCAAATCTTACCTACGAATCTAGACCTGAAGCAATTTTTTTGAATCAGAGACCTTAYGAAGCTTAAGCTCATTGAAATTAGAAACCATATCTTCTTCCTGCCTCCCTTTTCAACCCTAGCACAGAGTCTGACACGTGGAAGATGCTCAGTGAGAACCCGCCTACTTGACATAGACTTTACTGTTTTCCCTAGAGCTTCAGAATGCTTGTTGAATGAATGAATGATTGAGTAGATAAGTGATAAGTGATGATTGGCTATGAGCAGGGGCTAATGTAGTATATATATTTTTATATATACTATATATATATATAGTATATATATTTTTCACATTCTCCAGGTTTCTTCTCACTGTCACAATGCTCCTTGGATTATATACTGCTTTCCATTTGTTATCTGGAGAACTCTTCATTATTCCTTAGCTGCCTTGTGGTGATAATTCATAGTTTAATATTATAAGTTCTATGTTTTCCACAGATTTCCCAGAAACTTGCTTTTTCTTCCCTCCCTCCCTCCTTCCTTGCTATGATAGACTCTTGATACAGGAGAGCTTAGAAGTTTTAACTAAAGCCTTTATGGTATACATTTCAGAATGATTAACTCATAGCTATGCCTGACCACTAATCAGAAGTTATTGCAGCATCTCTCTGTTACATTAGATTCCCAGACATTATTTATCTATGAATCATTCTGCTTTACCTTTCAGAAACTATCATTGTGGTCTTTTCTTTCTCTGTCACTGATCTTAAATAACTATTTCCAAAAGCCATTGTTTCAATATCCAAGGCATGTACTATATATAGACTTTCCTGTGAAACCTGATTTGGGTGCCATCCAGCACCCCCACCTTTATAATATTACACTTGGAACCTTCTCAAATATTTTGGTTAGAACAATAGTTATTGAACATTTGTGCTGTGTAAGGAACCAGGAGAAGGTTTGAGGGGCACAAATATAAATATATAAATAAGAGATAATCTCAGCCTATGTTTGGCAGGAGCTAAAAGAAGAGAAAAGGAATAAAAAAGAGAACTATACTCAAAAGAGAGACAGTCTAAGGAAAGAGAGAGCACTTGATTCTTGGTTGGTCAAAGAACAAATGTCCTAAATAAAGAGGGTGCAGTTTGGGATTGGAAACTGGTTCTGGAAGGGAATTCAATACCTACAGGAAAGATGTGGRTCAGTCATTACAGCTGATATAGGCAACAAGGACCCAGAGAGATCTGTGTTGGGCATGTGGGGTGAACAAGAGGGAAAACATAGAAGTCTGCTTAGAGCAGAGTGTGGGTTGAAGAGTGGTGGAAGATAAAGGTGGAAGATAAAGAGTAGATGCCAGACTGGGACGTCCTGACTGTTGGCCGGGCTGAAACATCTGGACACCATTTTAGGGATTCACACCTGAATTGTATATTCTTGGGAGGGAAAGAAACATCTTTTGGAGATGTTCATTTCTGAYGTCCTTTTTGATGAGCGTGTGTACAGTTCTGAACCAGACTTAAGGTGTCAAAAAAAGTAAACCCCCAGGGGGAAATACCTGAAAGCCTAAAAAATTATGTGCATGAGATTTTTATTTTTATTTATTTATTTATTTAAGCCTAAAAAATTATGTGCATGAGATTTTTATTTAATTATCTTTATTCATTTATTTATTTATTTAAATATTTATTCTCCAGTTCTCAGTGGGCACAACATCTTTATCTTATTTCTATGTGGTGCTGAGGGTTGAACCCAGCACCCCGCACATGCCAGGTGAGCGCACTACCGCTTGAGCCACACCCCCAGCCTCCCTGCATGAGATTTTTAAACCAATGTTTTCTACCAATCGCTTATTTTTTTCTTCAATCGCTTATTTTTGCTTTGATCTTTACAGAGTTTATAAAGARCAGATTTAAGGATTCATCACAAACTATTCTCAGAGCAGATCCTGGGTTGCTCCCCMAATTTTTATTTTCATTGTTTCAATTTTTGTTTCATTATAACTTTTCATATTTCGCTACATATTTTAGCCCCAAATGTAAGTTATACAGTATAGTAATAATGTTGTCAAGTCTTCCTGGTTGACAATGTATCCTGAATTGCCTCCTAAGCTTAAATTTACTCAAAAGTTCCTGCTTCCTTGTTTCTACTTTTAGTTTGATGAGCGGGATTTAGAGTCTCCTTTCTCAACACTCAAAGCAATTTTAAGAMTTTCTCACTGGTGTCTACTTGTCTTACAAGAAAAATTCATAGTTTCATATATTAATTAATTCTTATTATATATGAGTTTTCTTTCCCTCAGATGACTGTGATTTCCTCTTTTAAGATCTGAGTCTCTGTCAGTTATTTTTGCTTTTGCACAGCAGTTAGCATAGTATTACACCTGTAGTATTTTCTTTGTGGGTAAAGGAACTGGGTAGTTTATGATAAGCTGCAGGAGCCCACCTGTTTCCATGTTTCTCTYCACCATTACCTTTCTTTCTTTCTTCTTTTCTTTCTAGAGAATTGTTTTCAGTAGATCTTTGCTACTTGAAATATTTCCTATTGACAGTATCAATATAACCTAAGAGCTTATTAAGAGTTCATAATTCAGGCCTCAGAATAAAGTAGAATACATATTTTGCTTGGCATTTGAGACTTTTGTTTTCTTACACAAGTCACCTAGGGATCATGCTAAGTACAGGATCTAACATATTCATAGTTCTTAGGTAATGACAGAATAGCTAGGCCTTAAAATTTTATACTATCAAAGTAGTTATTTCCTTTCTTAGAGTGTCCTTGGACAATATTTCCCCCTTACTATGACACTCCTCTACATACAACAGGTTTATGATAGGATTGGTACCTAGGGACTTTGGGCTGAATCCAGTCCACCAACCTGTTTTGGTAAATAGAGTTTTTTTTAGAACATAGCTATATTAATTTATCTATAGATTATGTATGGCTTCTTTTGTGTTACATTGGCTGAGCTGAATAATTATGACAGAAATTATATCTTTACAGAAAAAAGTTTACAGACTTTGACTTACAAGAAGAACCCTACCTTTTTTTTTTAAAGTTAAGGAAGTAGCTATGATCTTTTGCCCCTGTGGCAAAATTTGTAAGMCCATCTTAATTTGTCTCTATTCTAGGAGAAGCTGAATCGTAAATTGTAATTCCCAAGTAGACAATGAAAAATCTTGAGTCCAGTTGATCCAAATAATGGTACCAGAGAATCTATGACTTTCCAAGTCCCATTTAATCTCTCCCTCTTAGAATAAAAGATTACAATTTTATTGAGATGTATCTTTCTTCCACAAATTGATTTCCTTAGTTGTTTAAGGTAAATTTGACTTTCCCAAGAATTGGAAAGAGTAGAAGAGGAAATTCTGAGTAGACATATGTTTGGGACCAAAAGAAAAAAAATCCTTGCATGGGTTGGATATAATCTGCATTTTTAAGCCTGAAAAGGTATTGTTGGTCTCAGCCCATTTCTGGACTCTTCATTGCACAGCTAGATTCAGATGGTGTGGGCTTGGGGTTCTTTTAATTCCCCTGGAGAATCCCACCACCTGTCTCTTATTTAGGGTTTTGTGAATTGTGAAATAATGGCAGACACAAGCTCCAAGAATAGCTGCATGYGTATGCCAAGCATACAGAGATGGAAGGCTTGGGCCAAGAAGCAGGAAATATGGAAGAGGGGCTGGGCTGGAGGCATCTGCTCTACAAACAGTGCAGCCGGAGGCTGTGGGAGGAGAGAGGCGGGCCCCATGCAATCATTCAAGGATGTGGGCACTCTGCTCTGATCTGCAAGTGTTGGAGATCCTGGCTATGCTTCTGGAACCAAATTTCAGTAGAGGTGGGTGTGAAAGAATTGAGATCCTTTCCCTCATCCAGAGTTATCTGAAGCCAAAGACGTTCAGTGTGGAATTCTGTGGGAAACTTGGCTGTGGCTCCAGGAGCTTTAGTTTTAGTTCCCTTCCCCTCTTTGTCTGCATAACACAGGACRCTAACAGGGTATTTTGAGAAGATGGTGTAGACATAAGTCTTTGCCTCAATTCTAGAGTATATCTCACCCCCAATTAACTCAGAGATTATAAGAGTGAATTAGGATCTCTTACACTAAGAACTACCCGCCCTGTTGCTGGGAACCCTCATCAGATCCTCTCAGGCACATTTAGCTCCATATCTCAGCTGGTCAGAATATGGGAGTTTAAAGCCAAAGTTATTGTTTGGGCTGATATTTCAGCCATTCCCTCTATTGGAAGAAGTATAGTACATTAATTATTTAACTAATAAATTCCACAATTATCCATCTAAAAATATTC